GTGCCGCCCCCCCTTAACATCTTCATCTCCCACCCCACCCCCCCCGGGAAAATAAATGTACTTTAACGTATTAAATTCTTTAATAATTAATCAGACAATATAAGTTCACGGCAACCAAGTATATCAATCATGTTTTCGCTCGCTACTCTGGTTATGCAATAGTTCCATTCATTCGAGGTGTCACAGAACCAATTAAGAGAATCTTAAGTAATTGTAACATTAAGGTTGCCTTAAAACCCTATTTGATTTTAGGCTATATCTTCGAAAAGCCGAAAGATCCTGTTAAATTAAAACAAATCAGAAAACTCACGTTGTATATTTTATACCATGCGGTGACTGCGAGAAAGAGTATTTGGGTCAGTCTAAAAGCCATGCCAGTTTGGCACACGGCTATATAAAAGAACATCAAAAAGCTGTTTCAACTTTATTAAACATGAGGAAATCAACTTTGGCAGAGCATGTGTGTGACACCAAACACGAGATTGAGCGGGCAAATTCTAAACTAATTACCACAAACAATCACTATGGCCAAAGACGATGCCTAGAATCGTGGCATATAAATATGAGTAATCGCGCTTTGAATAGGGATGGCGGTGCCTATTCGCCAGAGGAATGCATCATACATGCATCTTATTGGCAGATGACGTCATTCCTTGGCTATTTAAGAAGACACGTTACAACTTTAGATCACCTCTGATGAAGGCACTAGACTGAAGTGCCAAAACGTTGGGTCTTGATCACAATTCGACTGGGCTTTGTATTCATTAATATAAACCAGAGTAGCGCGGAGCGAAAATAAGGTAATAATTTGTATCATGTATATAAGGGCCACATAAGAAGGGCCTTAATATCGTTTCATCGTTGTATAAAATCGTTTGTCCTCAGCTCATGTCTCGCTTCCAGGCTCATAGCCTGCAAACGAAGTTCCCCTCTTATACACCTTTTGTAAATATACTGTCAGGGAGCTACAGGTACAAAAGTGCATGTTTACGTACCATATCGAGGGGCAATTTCATTTTAGCTTTATCTTGTGCCTTTAGGCCTAATAAGTATATTTCTGTAAGTTGAACGCATTCAAATTTCTTGTGTGCTCCTGCCAACACGTTTTTTTTTTCAATTTTCCTATAAAAGTCTATTATTGTCAAAAATGGTGAAATTTCAGGTTCATTTATTGAAAAAATAAAATAACTTATGTCATCAGAAACATAACAAATTACATTTTGCTCATTATTATGGTTACCTTGAATTTTCAAGCTCTTGTTGAGTTATGAGCGTTTGAAAATGTATTTTCAGACTAGAACCCAGGAAATTTGTGCCATTTTGAACTTTTTTCACATTTTAAAGTTAACCGTAATAATGTCTTGTATATCGTTTTTTATGAGCTTTCTGATGATACAAGTTATTTTTCAAATGAACGAACTTGAAAGTTCACCATTTTTGACAAATAACAATATAATAGTTTTATAATAAAATTGAAGAAAAACGTGTTGGCCGAAGCTTACAAGAAAAATTGGGTCGGACATAATCCAGAATTGTTATGTTGGAAATCCAACCGGCAATTTGGGAGCAAAATGGATTTACCCCTCGAGAATGTAAGTAAAATATATGAAAGAGTGTCCAAATCGAATCCACTGTGCATCTATAGCTACAGTTTCTACCAACAAACGACAACAGACCACCTCTAATAACATACGTTGGTCTTAGAATACTGACTTATTCACAAAACGGGATTTAATTTGGATGCGAAAAGAAACTCCACAGAACTTAGTAAATATATCTGAGAACTAGAACACAAAAATATCGACTAGACAATTAAATGGTAAAAGCTTTAAAAGAGCCAAATCCCACAGCAGCACTAAGGGACCGGTCATTATTTATGGTTGGGGGTGGCACCGAAGAGAAAAGGGTTGGATATAAACTAAATTTTGAGTAAGTAAAAGGTTCGATAAATGAAAAACAAAACAACTCAAGGGTTGGGTAATAAAAAATTATTGTCATTTCCAAAGCATAACTCACTGAAGTATTAGGGACTAAAAAGCAATGGCAACAGTAGGCCCTACTCTGGGGCGATAACGAGATAATGCGAGTTTAAGCAATTTTAGGTGATTTAAGCAAAATCTGCAATTTAAGCAATGCGAATTTGAGCGATATAGGGCAATGTAAGAAAAAAATTAAAATTTTAGGGAATGCTGTTTAGGTGTTTAGAGGTAATTTCAGGAATATACAACTATATCCCTGATGACTCCAATGAAATTACCATTAACCTATGCCAAGCATCCAAACACGAGTGTTCCCACAAACACACACACATGCACTGTCATGCAGTGTATGAAGCAAAATATCCAATTTAACAAAAAAAGTTGAAGTCTGCTTGAGGGGGTTCTGGAAACAAACAATACACTGTATGCGCATGACGATCAAGTGTTTAAAGGGTAAATAAGCTCAATATTCATGACTTTTTCCATCCATTGTCTATTTCGAAGCCATTGGAGTATTATTAAATTCATGACATAACTATATTAAATACATGACCACATGTTCACATAATATGCAATTGCAAACCATTTTCAAAGGAGTAGGGTACAGAATTGCAATATAACAACATATAAGTAAATTATACAAGTCATGAACTTATCAGTTTGTGTTGAGTTAAATTTAAAAATTTTTATGACATCAAATATTTATTTACTTGCAAATCAAAACATTTTAAAATTCTCGTGTTTTGCTTTGTTTTGTTTTGTTTTGTATTGCGCCCGCGATATATTAATGGTATTAACTGCTGTGAATATGATATACATTTTTAATACATTGCATTTGCGCTCAAAAGTTCAGGAAGTGAGTTTCTAGAAAGGATGAAAACTCCGTTTTATATATGGTATGTAAAAGGTAATTGTTGTTTACTGTATGTGACCCCAATCACGCCATCAGCCCATTGAAAACATTAGGTCACGTCAGCTAGTTTCCTATCCATTTATTTTATTATCCATGGTCATATATACCAAGAATAACAGCATGAATTCACACCCATGCAGATGACAGAAGAATATTAACGTTAGTCAATTCAACAAAAACAAGTAGCAAAAATCGTAAACGACAGCGAAATAGCACAACTTGCAAGAAATCGACTTTCTTGCAAGAAATCGACCAAGAACTGCCAGGCGTCTGAGCGTCTCCCATTTCAAGTGCACTCTTCCCATCAGCCCCTTCCCCATTTCTCCCCACTACAATACTTCATGTAAACTCGTCATATGCGCATCACTATTTTTTACAAAGAGACGCCTGGGTACAAGCTACTACAAGGCAGCCCGACGATCATGGCGTTAAAATTGTTAAAATTGCCCGAAAAACGCTCCTCCCCCATTCCCCCAGTAGCTACGGCACTGCTTGTGCGCGTGAACTGTACGCTTTCATGCATAATTAACAAGGCGAAATTGTGTGAATCCAATCACTATTCTCGAGACCGAATTGTTTCCCCTCGAAACCTCCACTCGCTACACGCGCCTAAAATTTATATGTTTAAAAGTAAGTGAACACTATACATGTTAATTAAAAAAACGCACTCATAAATTAATTGAAACGATGCTGCTATAGCTGCATTCTGAAAGCGTAGATTACGTCGTTTGCGTCTTATTAAACACATGCATGTGAAATTAAATGAGCTTGTCATATCAAGCGCCGTTATTATTATACATGCATGGTTTCAAAATCAATTGAAATGATGCTTCATCCAGTCTATATATAGTTTATGAATCAGCGATCATAGGCTATATATCATTGCACTTTTCAAAAAATGTACGCGTGCATGTGTGGTTGATCTGATAAATACACGTCATTTTCTGTATAGCACATGCATCAGTTTATATTAAATATTCCTTGGAAAAGTATTGCATATTCAATACTTATGAATACTAATAAAATTGTGAAAATTCTTTTACCGACTTTAATATATTTACATTACAGCAAATGAAATGTATATTAATATTTGTTAAAATGTTCTACACGGGGTTAAAATATTTTCCAATGTATTCCACGCTTTCTGCTGGTTTTGTGTCGCATTTGTTACTCTTCATTAATTATTTTGTTTAGTAAAAGATCCTTTGAAATGTTTCCGGAATTATGCAACTTACCTCATCGCGAACTTAGCTTTGTCTGACTTCATTACCTGCTCAGCTGGCTTGATACGAATAACATTGGCTTGGAAAATCTCATTAACCACAGTTTTCTATATATGGCATACAGCTTCGTTCGTATCATTGTTATCTATATTCTCAATCGCTGTTGATCGCTATGTGTTGACGGTACATCCATTTAAACGTCGTGTGCTTTTAGTAAATGGAAGAAGAATCGCTATTTGGATTCTTTCGTTATGGCTTCTAAGCTCCTGGCTGTTGGTAAAAGATCTTACATTTGGCACCAGCCAAATAGACAATCAAATATACGACACAATATTTATTGTAATTCCTTTGGTAACTGGTTTGATATATACGTATTAACATTTCTTTCTTTGAAAAAGCAACGACTGATCATATATGAACAAAATCAGTCGCGAAGTCGGCCCTTACAAGAGGAGTTTTTGAAAACGATTGTAATTGTGGCATTTATCCAAATTTTAACCCTGGTTCCAATAAGTTCCTTTTCTTTGGTTCATGGTTGGTCGATTGATTTTGACAATTCAGTTTCAAAATTAGTCGTTTATTCAGTGTACTGTATAAACATTGCAATAAACCTTTTCTTGTATATATGGAGACTTAGGAACTATCGACAAGCACTGTTTCGCTTGGTTTTTTGCACCAAATAATTGTGTTAAAGAACCTAAAATTCGCCAAGGAAGTATAAACATATAACACATTTAACGATCAAACGATGTCACCTTTCAGAATTCTGATGTACGCAAGCAATGGAACGACCTCGTGCACAGTGAACCGTTTGTTCCCGCAGCCACGGTTAGAACTGAGCAGTACATAGGCCTATACATGCATTTTCATAGTTAATAGAATATATTATCTGGTTTGGAAACTCGTCAGAATAATAACATAACTCATTACTGTATGTTAGTCAACGTTTATTCATAAATCTGGTCGTTCACCATCACGTGCGAATTGTATTTTTGGCAAATCCACCAATAGCAATTTCCAATTTACCCTATTGTTCGAGTCACAGATATGTAACTTCCCTAAAACATTGCTATTGGTTAGTCGGGCAAAAATACAATACGCACGTTACGGTGAACGACCAGATTTTTGAATAAACGTTGATTAACACAGACAATGAGTTATACTGTTATTTTAATGAGTTTCCAAACCGTCTATTCTATCAACTATGGTATTTTGAAATAATTGTAAAGACGTTTGGCACGTAAAATGAGGGGCTGGGTAATGTTGATCGTTGCCACGGTGACACCTCTCATACTGATCCACTGCTATTTTTTCTTCTTCATGTGACTATATATATTCAGAGCGTTTCTAACAATTTGAAATGGAACTATCACATTGACAAAAATATATCGAAGACATGAAAGCGTCTCTCTTTTCTCTTCCAACTTAAGGTGGCCCAATACAGCCATACAGGTTTTAAAAAATGGAAAATTCACGATTTAGATGCGTATTTTTGGACAATTATTACTTGTTGATAAACAAAAAGTACCTTACTTATACAAAACAACATCTAAAAAGTTTGAATTTTTGCACAATTCATATGTTTAAAAGTAATGAACATTATACATGTTAATTAAAAAACACTCATAAATTAATTGAAACGACGCTGTCGGCATTCTGAGAGCGTATATTACGTCGTTTGCGTCTTATTAAAGGAATGCATGTGAATGCATTATAAAGTGTTTGTCAAATCAAACGCCGTTATTATAATACAACTTGGCCGGGCCTTTTTTAACGATTTTCCGGGGGGTGGGGGATTTCTGAAAGGGGACCTTTTCTGTAAGATAGTATATTAGAGAGGGACAACCATGGCCGAAGGCCACGTGTGTGGCCGACATATCACGCATGATTAGGTGGGTCTGTCAAAAAAAATTTAACAATTGAAGCTCTGTAATGTCATTTCATGCACTTCATGCACTCATGCAAATTTGCAGTCTAAAATTTATGCTAACTATATATATACTTCCATCTGAAATAAAAGAAGGAAGAAACGCACAAAACATTAAAAAATATATATATTAACAATAGTTTGTCATTACTTAGTGTTAGATAAACGTAACAATTTATGAATTAAGTCGATTTTGTTAAACAAGGACAAAGGATAAACACTTAAAGTTACTTTCCGTTAACCTATTTGTTATTCTTCGCTTGCTTGTTTGTATAAATTTAGGAAATAGGGACTTTTCCTGGGGGGGGGGGAAGATTGGCAAGATTGGGATTGAAGCATCCCCCCCCAGTTTGTATCTTAAAAAGGCCATGCAAAATTAACTTGGGTTCAAAATCAATTGAGATGATGCTTCATCCAGTCGATATATAGTTTATGAATCAACGATCATATACCATTGCGTTTTTTAAAATATGTACGCATGTGTTGTTGATCTGATATTATATACTCGTGAATTTTAATAAAATTTTGAAAGATTTTTAGTAAATTAAATTTTTACCTTTTTTTAATTTATTTACATTAATACAAAATTTATTATATTTTCAATATACACGTTTTCTGTACCGCATCAGTTAATCCATCAGTTTCATTAAACATTAGCGATTGATGTATTAGATCTTCTTGCTTATAAAATGTTCTACACAGAGTTAAAATATCTTCCAATATATTTCACGGTTTCTACAGGTGTTGTGTCGCATTTGTTACTTTTCATTTGTTTGCTAAAAGATCCTCTGAAATGTTTCAGGAATTCCGCAACTTATCTCATCGCGAATTTAGCTTTGTCTGACTTCATTACCTGTTCAGCTGGCTTAATACGCATGACTTGGAAAATGTCAACTACAACTTTCTATGTATGGAATACAGCTATGTTGGTATCCCTGTTATCTATATTCGTAATCGCAATTGATCGCTATGTGTTGACAGTACATCCATTTAAACATCATATGCTTTCAAATGGAAGAAGAATCGCTCTTTGGATTGTTTCAATATGGCTTCTAAGCTCGTGGATGTTGGTAAAAGGTCTTATATTTGGCATCAGCCAAACAGACACTCAAATATACGATACAATATTTATTGTAATTCCTTTGGTAACTGGTTTGATATACGTATTGACATATTTTTCCTTGAGAAAGCAAGGACAAAACATGTCTGAGCAAAATTGGTCACGAAATCGGGCCTTACAGGAGCAGTTTTTGAACACGATTATAATTGTGGCGTTTATCCAAATTTTGACAATGGTTCCGTTAAGTATCTTTACGTTGGTTCATGGCTGGTCGAAAAGTTTTAATTCAGTTTTAAAATTGGTCATGTATCCAATATACTTTTTAAACTTTGAAATAAATCCTTTCTTGTATATATGGAGACTTAGGAACTATCGACAAACATTTCGTTTGGTTTTTTGTACGAAGTTGTGTTAGAGAAACTCATATTCGGCAGAGAAGTGTAAATATATATAATATATATATATATATATATATATATATATATATATATATATATATATATATATATATATATATATATATATATATATATATATATATATTTAAAGACGTCACCTTTCAGATTCAAAGCGATGCAAGGAATAGAGCAAACTTGGGCACAGTTACGATCACGAAACTACTCCAAATTATTTAGAAGCAGTGCATATATTTATTATATGGCAATCATTTGTTAAAGCAGCGACAGATTTATAGCTTTTCCCTGAAAATTTCTGGGTTTTTAATTAAAAGAGACATAACATATATATGAGATGAAGCTGTTTATTAATTTTATTGTTTTCATATTTTGTTGTCTTTGATTAAATAACGAAGGACCTCGTATTTGTCTTGAAATACTATCCAAACTGTGTTAGCATTCTATAAAAATAGGTACGCAATGCGTACATGTGACTAGCATTTGGTATAAGAATATTAGGTACGCTAAGCCTATATAGTGCCATATAGCGTATTAACTGCGGAAATCAATTTCGTTAAAAATTCACTACGTTTCTTAGTATTGTGTTTACACTATAACGGAGTGGTTTGCCATAGGGCATTATCTTCGGACCACTACGTTTGGCACTCCGGATGCAAATCACTACGCTACGGTAAATTTGACCGTAGCGTCGTAATGTAAACGCGGCCTTAATTAGTGTTTATAGTTGTCTCTTAAATTGACTAATATCATTAATTGGAGGACGTTTGTCAATATCAGTATTCAATCGGAGACTTGTGTTGCAACGTGTTGATAACTCATGTGTTAAGATGAAGGCTTTCTTTCAAGATGGCGGCCAACGGGAAGTCGGCCAACAATCTGAACTATATATACATTATATATATATATATATATATATATATATATATATATATATATATATATATATATATATATATATTATATATATATATATATATATATATATATATATATATATATATATATATATATATATATATATATATATATATATAATGTATATATAGTTCAGATTGTATATATATATATATATATATATATATTTAATGCTATCAAACAGAAATAACTTGCATTAAATAGAGGAAGGGCTAACTTAGATTTTGATATATTACCGTTGTATTTTACTTAAAAATTCACGGAGATATTAATGTTCAAAATCGGGAGCATATTTTGGGATAATTTTATGTCTAAAATTAGCGAAAATCGGCATATCAAATATTAACTTCAGCGTTTGTTTGCTTGATGACATATCATGGCTAACTTGTATTTCAACGAATTGTCGTTAGGGTTTGTAAGGGATATGGCGTAGATTTAGACTTCTTACATGTAAGCTAAGTCTTAGCTCATTGTTTCCTGAAATATGAACGTACGAAATTATGCAAGTATTTAATAGGTCTTTACAAACTTTACAAATTTATAAGGTACATGAAAGACCATGCAAGGCAGGCGCTTAAATTTTTCTTAGCCTAATTTTTTATGTTTTTTATGGGTTCAAAACAGAGTTGATTATTTCTCGGTTAGAGCAGGATGAATATTATTCTGCAATGAAGGGAATAATATTGCTTTTTGCAAATACATATCACAGTATCAACGCTACTATTTTGTTACGTTTTGTTCCAAAAATGTAGGATGTCTCCAGGGAGTTGCGCATGCTTATTTGTTATGTCTTATGGAGTTGTATGGTTTGATTGTGTTTCATTCTCAGTTTATTGTGAACTTAAAAAGATTAAGAAAAGGCAAATGAGTTTGAGTGTTTAACAAGATTTCAGAGCATTGCAGAATTTAGAAGAGCTTCACAATTCCATTGTGACAGCATGCCCTAATTCAGAACTACGAACGATCCATGACGATCCTTCGCGATGCAGTGGTCTCATGAAATAAGGAAACGTATTCGTGCTAGGAACACACACAGATTTCGGACGAATAAATCTTGCTTGTATTTTGTATATAATAATACAGACTTTGTTTCACAGTAAACAATTTGTCAAGTGTCATTTATTTACTGGTAATCGTGCATGTTTCAGTCGGGCAAATCTTGATTAATATTTGATACACCGTTTTTTGCATATTTCAGACACATCCAGAAATATGCTCCCGCATTTAAACATTAATATCTCCGTGAATTTTTAAGTGAAATACAACTGTAACATACCAAAATCTAAGTTAGTCCTTCCTCTATTTGATGCAAGTTATTTCTCTTTAAAAGGTTTACTTGTTTAGAAGTTATTACGAATCAAACCGGAGTACTTTTTTTGGGACACCCGGTATATATATATATATACAGTATATATACTATAGTTCAGATTGTATATATATATATAGTTCAGATTGTATATATATGTCATATGGCTGACGACCATAGATGACGACACAGGCTGCGTTCGTTCTTTTGCATTCACCGTTCTTTGCTTTGGTTTGCATAAATAGGTATAAAGGGTTTCTTTTTATACCGTAGACTAATAGGCTCCTAATTTTTGTATTATTAAACTCTTATTGCTTTACAATATTTAGAAGCAAATGTTTTGATAGGTTATAGTATTTTTTCTCGACATGTAAACTATATAGCTTGCTATAAAGCCTGGAAGCATGCGACGACTGACACTGACAAACTGCCAGTACTGCTGACCATGTGGTCGATAGAACATTTACTTTTATTATCAGATCATACAGTAATACAAAGTGGACCAATTATAATTTGTCGATAGACATTGAAAAGTTTAAAAAGCAGATGTTCAAAGAGGACTATGTGTCATGAAAATATAGTTGATTGAATAATACTGCTATTCAGTTAAACCCATTATAAAGTCGCAGCCTGTAGCAAAATCTCGACCCCCGAAGTCGCAAGCAAGCAATATGGCGAATTTTTCATTAAATTCAAAGGCAATCACTGAAATGGCAATATTTAGAACCAATTTTATATAATGTTTTGATTTTTTCATTAAAAAGAATGGTAAATGATTGATCAATTTTAACTAAATGAGTTGCCACATTTAACGACTAGTGTAAACGCATGGGTGACACGTTGTTGCGCATGCCGCAGTTTTCAAAAGATAAACACAACATAGATTTTATTTCACAAAATCAGTATGCTACATATATTATTAAAACAGCTCTAGTAAAGTAATTCCATGATAATTACAGTAAGTGAGCAGTGCGTCCAAAAGAACTACTAATTAAATTGCAATTTTGCAAAGTACATTATAAATTTCATGGCTTCCCGCATTCCATGGCATTGAGAAGGGCATTTTGTAATTAACAATGTCGTGACCTATTTTAGAATGTTTCCTTCAGGTTATCGATGAGTATTTCTGAGTAAACGAGCTTGTATTAACTTTATGATGTCGGCTTTATTAATTTATGAGGATATATATGAAACAATAAACAATATTTTGGAAGCTTTTCAATCGCTGTCATGTACTGATGTAGTTTCAGAATTCGCACTCGCCAAGTAACGGCATAATTCAATATGCTGATTTTAAATTTTTGCCAAAAATGTTCATACGCGTTTTAATGTGGCTTTATTCGAAATTTTCTTGCCAAAAATGTAGCCTACATATACGCACATGGCAAGTTGAAACTACGCACTTCTCAAGCTAAATTAAACAACTTGATTCTTGGACAAGAGACCAACAGTAGGGTCACGTAAACAGTGGAAATCATGCCCTAAAAATGCATGATAATCTCTTCTAAAAACTTAGTTTTAAACTAGACTGAGTGAACTTGCCAATTCCAGGGCATATGAGGGTGCAATGCGACTTAATGATTATTAATATTGCAATGTTGCTTGCAAGAGAACATCTGGTTTGACTGTAATAATTATTTAATAAATTTCTGATATTGCAGAGTGGGGTTTACAGTCTAGTTCATACAGTATCAGATATGGAAGGTCAAGAAATAAAGAAATAATGTATATACATACTTGTTTGTACAGATTGTACAAAATCTCAAACTTGTTGTCTATATAGTTGGTTTCAAAGAATGATTGACATGTACAACACACCCTAAAACATGCTTAGAATATCATTGCTAGGACCTGCATCGTTTTGTCAGAAAATACATTACACAATTTAACTCATTGTATTCAGGAGTGGGTTTATAGTGCAATCAGTTCCTTAAGTATACAGTTTTTTTGCTGCCCCATGGCGGGGATTTATCCATTAGTTTGAGACAGGGAATCAGAAAATTTTTCAGAGAAAAAGTCAAATGTTTGGGTGTTTGTCAGAGGGGATCTTAATTAAAAATCAAGAAACTGACTTCTGCATAACACACAATTCACGCATGTGCTTGGCTAAGTTGGCTTGCAACCAACGTGGTCTCTTGGACTTGATTGATAACCTAGTCATAGTTCGAAGATCCTAGTCATAACTTAACCGCTACCTCTCGCTGACCTGATGTGCATGTAATTGTTTAGCTCGATAAACTATAATATTGTTCAGTGGTAGCGGTCGTGGCGGTGGAAATCGAATCTTGTTCTGGCTATGTATTGCATTGCATTGCATTGTATTGCACTGCATTGCATAATATTCAATATTGTTCTGTGCGATGTAGTTTTGTTTTGCGATATGTTGTTTTGTGTTGTATTCTTAAAATTTAGCAATTTTTAAAGGGCCCACAGTAATTGGTGTATACTGTTGTGGTGTCCCTGCCACTTGTTTGTTGTAAGTGGCGAAGTTTAATAAATAAATAAATAAATAAATAAATAATCAGCATGCATATTATTAAGATATTACAATACATAGATACTAGAAATACATGCATGATGAACACTTCAACTTGATAATCCACAAGAGCCAAACATCTGTGATCATTGGTCGTTGTGTACATGTGTGAGATTAACCCATTAGAGTCCAAAACTGTCCCCCTTGATGGGTAAAATCATCTGGCATTACACAGAGTAAAATAATAAAGTAGGCACGTGTATTGCTGGTTATGGGGTTAACTAATAAATGAATACTTGAAATAGTTAAACCATTAAGCGCTGAGTGCTCTCACCTTGTCGAGTAAATTTGTCTGGAGTTAGACAGACTAAGGCCCCATTTACACTATATCGGATTGCTATCGGAGTGGGTCAAATTTTGTAGGTATCGAAAGGCTGTGAAAATTTTTAATCTCAGAAACCCAAATAAACATGCCAATTCTGTCAAACTAATAAGCATTTGCTACTAACCATTGCTCCGTAACGGAAAAAAAGATGCCGTGACCAGCGAATCCGGTATAGTGTAAACAGGGCCTAAAATAGCAAAGTAGGGTACATCAGGGTGCAATGCGACTTAATGAGTTAATGGATTAACAATTTCAAATATTCATTTATTAGTACTAGTTAAGCCATTTGATGTGTGTTTTTATAGGTGATCAACTCATCTGTTATGTTCATGACATCACTCCAATGAAGTCTGGAAGTATGTCATACATGACTTGCAATTTGCAAACTTCTACATCCAAACTGAAGGCTGTTTGTTCTTCCCCTGAAAAAAGCAACCCTCTGAAGAAAGCAAGTGCAGGTAGAAGTCCAATAAAAATTAAAAAGTTTGATTTCAGCAGTAAATTCAATAATGTTGTCATCAACAAACATACAGTTATTGAAGATTACAAAGAGCCTATTGGTTTCTCATGTGCCGACCCATCTGCACTGGTTACTCTGTCGAGTGTCCATGGTATATCTCCGGGACAGATGGTTACATTAAAGGCAAATGTTACACAGATGAGTGGTGTCAAGCATGTGAAAATAGACAATGGAACTTTGAAACAAGTAATGGCTATTCTTGTTGATCCGACTGCCTCCATCCAAGCTGTATTTTGGGAAGAATGGGTTGGTTCAATTGAAGATAGAAAGACATACATATTCACGAACATGAGGCTACGAGAAGATAACTACACAAATGAGAAGTTTGTCAATACAGCAAAGTCTGGATGCAAGATTGGAATCAGCGTTCCATTTAGTGAAGCATTGCCAGATGTGACACTCTCCCTGAGTGAGATGGCAACAAAAGAGGTAACTATTTCAGTAGTAGTTGTAGGAGTAAAAGTTCTAAGTAACTTCTTCACTTGCCAAAGTTGCTCCAAGAAGCTTGAAGAGTGTGGTACCAAGTATATATTATGTCGTCCATGTAACATGAAGCAGAAGCCTATCAATATTCAGTGGTACTGCAAACTTAGAGTCCAGGAAACATTGTCGCAGCAATTCAACCTTTCTGTATTTCATCCTCAATTGATGAAGCTGTTGGAGACCCAGGGAAGATCTTTGTTGCCAACATTAACCAATGATCAGATTGAAGATATTCTTCTAGATGTGGAGGGCCCATTGAGATTAGCATGAATGTGCAACAAGGAAAAGTACTGGATATTTTAGAGTGAAACAGGGACAACCCATCCACTTGATAATTTTGGTAAAATCCTGACATTGCATGTGATTAAAATGCTAACATTTTAAATTGTGTTATACCATGAGACTGAGTGTTTCATGAAATTAATGTACTTTCCATAAAAATGTTGTTTTGCCATGGTGCTGGTATAGTATTTAAGCACCCAGTTGTTTGCTTTTAATATTTCAATTTTGTTCTTTGTAATGGTACAGGTAATTATTATTGAAATCAGTAGACCGCTGCACCCCCACTTTTTTTTAATCCCGCACATTCTGTTTCAAAGTGAGTCTTCACATGATATCTCGTATATATATATATATATATATATATATATATATATATATATATATATATATATATATATATATATATATATATATATATATATATATATATATATATATATATATATATATATATATATATATATATATATATAATATAATATATATATATACAGGGTGTATCAAAATAAACGCAATTCATCTTTTGTGCTTAATAACTTTCGAAATACTATTTCTAGTTAAACGCTTTTAGGCTTACTTCAAAGCCTGTTCTTTCTCTTTCAAACAAACTATTATTCTTGTCTC